CGCGCCAGAGCCGCAGGGATGGCGGCCAAGCGCGAGCTGGCGGCGCGCGCGTTGAGCTTGGCGTAGAGCACGTCGTCCAGGTCCCAGGCCAGCAGGCGCCTCAGCAGTACTAGCGACTCGTCGAAGTACTCAGCAATCATGACGAGCGAGAAGACCTCCTCCACCTGGCGGATGAGGCCCGCCAGGTAGGCTGCGTCGTCGCGTGGGCTGCGCTCATTGTCACCCCCCAGGTCGTAGGCCAGGGTGTTGTGCGCGAACATAGCGAAATGCTCACCCGGGCGGTAGTAGGCCTCAGGAGCGTGTAGGAAGGCTTCGAGTGACGCATTAGGCACGCGCCGGAAGGCCGGGCAGTACTGGTTGTAGTAGCTGAAGAGCGACTCAAACATGGCAGCTGGCTCGCGCAGGATGGTGACGTAGATGGTGCCGGGCGGCATAAGGCGCTCGAGCTCTGCGCGGTCGAAGCGCAGGTGGCTGGCCAACACGTGTGGCGGCCGCGTGGCCGGATGCACGAAGTGCGCAGAGAAGTTGCGTGGGTAGCAAAACTGATGCTCGCAGCTCGGGTGTGGCAGGGCCACCGTCAGGTTGTGGCGCTCGGCAAAGCGGAACAGGATATTCTGCACTGTCGTGCCGGCTGTCTTGTGCGTCTTAAGGAAGGCCACTGTCATGTGCTTGGGGCGCGGCGGTGACTCCCGCAGGGGAGGGCAGCTCAGGGGGAACAGCTTGGGGTACCTGCAGGACCCAGGAGGTGTGCCAGAGGAGCATATGAGAGGGTGCGGCTTGGCCCTTTCCTCTTCCCCCAGGATGGCAGATGTTTCCCAGAGCAGCACAGCTAGAGCTGCCCAGCCATAGCTTCACTGATGGAACAGTAGAGGAATGGTGGGCCCTCTAAAATGATCCCTTTAATCACCATAGCCTCCTGATAGCTACGTTCTTGTGTATTCCCTTCCTCTTGAGTGTGGCTGGACTTAATGATACACCTGTGAAAGAGACTCGGACAGAAATGATGGTGTAACCTCTGATTATATCAGTTTCTATCTTGGTATTTTTCCATTCTTCCCAGGATAGTTCACATTGGGAGAAGCATATTCTGGACATTCAAATGGGAGACACCACATGGGAACAGCCCCCAATTAACTGAGGGTGGGCGGGATCCATTAACCTGCCGGGAGAACTAAAGACTGCTAGACTATGAGTGAGCTCACTGCATGAGTGAGCTTGGAAGGCAAACCCAATCAAGACAGACGGCAACGTGGCAAGCACCATGTTTGCAAACCTATACAAGACCTCGAACCAGAGCTACCTAGCAAACTACTCCTGAATTCCTGACCCACAGAAACTAAGAAAATAAGTACTTCTTGTTTTCAGCTGCTGAAGTTTTCAATTTATTTATGCAGGAACAGATAAGGGACCAAGGTCCTTGGAGACCCTTGAGGATTCACACTTTACAAATGTGGAAACTGAAGATAAGAAATAATGGAGGTGATTTCCTGTTATATTCTAGATACTCAGGAGGCTGAAGCAGGAGGATTTGAGGCCAGCCTGGGCAACTAATGAGACCTCACAAAATAAAAAGGAATGGGGCTGGGAATGGTGGCACATTCCTGTATGACCAGCACTTGGGAGGATAAGGCAGGAGGATCACCTGGACTACATAGCAAGAGGCCACCCTAGACTACATAGCAAGACCCTGTCTCAAAAATAAACAAAGAACTGGGCTGTACCTCTAGTGGTACACCCCTGGATTTGATCCCCAACACCCTCCTCCACACAAAGACCAGGGGAGAATGAAGACAAACAGTCAAATCATGCTTTCTGAGCTTTTCACATTAACTAGTTCCTCACTTTTCAGGTTGCTATACTAAGCTTTGTAGTAAAACACCATTTGTGAAGTTTCTGTTAAGGTGGAGCCTTATTCATTTATTCAGCAAACATTTTTTGAGTACTATATAGCAGGCACTGTTCAAAACTGAAGAAATACAACAGTATACAAACAGATAATCTAGCCCTTGGGAAGTTTTCATTTCTGTTCCTCCTTCCTGAAACAAGTGTTTGGGATTATTGGTGACTTGTAAGGTCTTTGCAGGTTTTGATTTGCTTTTCTGTTTCTTCTCATCCATCTAAGCATCATATAATAAGGGCAACTCTAAGCAGTTTTGAGAACACAATTGAGATTTCCTCTTTGTGGGTGCTTTGGGCTGAGGATATCTACACAATCACTTATAAAACCAGGAAATCATTTGTCAAAGGACATTGGGCTCATGCACACCATTCTCAGGAGCTGGGGTGGTGGTGCATGCCTGTGATCCTAACATTCAGGAGGCAGGAAAATTGCCATGATTTCAGATCCAGCCTGGGCTACATGGTGAGTTAAAGGCCAGCCTGAACTACACTGCAAAACTCCCCCATCCCCCCCAAAAAAACCCAAACAAACAAAAACACCATTCTCCAGGGGAAGATCATGTAGAAAATGGAGAATTTGAGGCCCTGAGAAGTGCAATGACTTGTTGGGTTCACACAGTCAGATGCAGAGATCAGGTTCATGTGGTACCCTATATCAGAGTGAGTAGCAAGTCACACATACCATTCTCATTTTATAGAAGAAACCAGGGCTGGGAGAAGTGGGTATTACACAATACAAATGAAGTAATGAGAAGTTGTTTGCAGTCCACTGGGGAGGCACTCAGCCATAATGCCATGGAAAGGATTCAGGCTAGATTTGAATCCCAGCTAACTTTTGGACTTAGAGCAAGTCACTCAGTCCGTTCAGTGAAGACCAGTATCTGTGCTGCTCAAGGATATGTATGGAAAGTACTTTCTGGATAGAGGGAAGGAACAAAGCCCAGCAGAGCTCTTCCTGCAGGTGGAAGAATGGGAAGGGGATCAGTCAGTTCTGTTGCTAACCCAAGGTGGCTCTGGGCAAACACATTTCCCCTCACTGGGCCCTGCCCCTCCCTGTGGCCCTGACCACTTACCAGCTGAGCTGTGCCCCCTGGTGGATGAGGAGACTTACAGTGCTGCACCCCAGCAGCAACAGCAGGATTTTCCTGCGGCTCATTATCTTGGTGGCCTGCTGCAGGCGCTGGAGAATGGGTGGCATGGTGGAGCGCCCACCCCTGGTCTGCCGAGGGCCTTGCTATCCACGACTCCCTTCACCAGCACTCATGGGGGCTCCTGGGGTTCTGGTAGCAGGGCCAGGGTTCCTGAGAAGCCTGGCAGAAGAAGCAGGCAGACAGGTTTGCAGGAGGCAAAGGAGATGGGCTTCACGTCCTAGCAGGACTGCTGCAAAGGAGAACTCCAGTGAGTAGGGTGAGCAGAGAGGCCAGGGCAGATCAGATTCAAACCTCCTGTTACCAAGGCCCTATCTTCTCACTGTTCCAGATAGCCTAGTCTTGGGTGGAATTACAGGGCCTGGGATGTGGCCAGCCCTTCAGACTGCAGCCACTCTGTCCCTTGAGCCCTTTCTCTGCCTTTCTGTCTGTCCCTAATTAGTCTTTGTCTCATGGCCATTCATATTTGTCCCCATAGCAGGCTGGCCTCAGCACCTGTATGTGGCTTAGAGTACAAAAGTCTCAGCTCAAGGTTTCCCCTCCTTCCAGACTTCTTGCCTGACTGCTTCAGCCAAGGAGTGGCCCTGATTCCCCAAAGACTGAGCTCCTCAGAAAAATGGTCAGACTCACTTCCTTAAATCTCAGATCAGTTCTGCAGGCTTACTGTACATTCCATACTATTACATACTTACCCCATTTAATCCTCACTCCCACGCTAATAAAGGTGGTATTCCTACTTTATAGATGAGGAAAATGAGGCTCCAAGAGGTGATGTCACTTGTCTGTGGTCACACAGCTGGTGACAGCAGAATTGTGCCTCAGACCTACTCTTTCTGGCTTGAAAGTTCATGCCCTTGGATATATGCTGTTTCCATAGAAGGCTGATTTCCTCATCCCTGTCTGGATTCTGGCAGTTCTGCATATATCAGCGCTGAGCACTCCTGGCTGGCCTCCTTCCTAGAGGGCCTGGGACCCATAAATCCAGGAGGTAAAGAAGGACTTGAAATAAATGCTGGAATCCTATCTAGAACCTGAAAGCTAGGCAGTGCCATCAGCTGACTCTGCGGTGGAGTTGACTAGCTCAGGCACAGTGGCAGCCTGGGAGGAACAGGGTAGGAGTGTGGGGAATACAGAGGCGGCACCTGCTTGTGGCTCAGCTAACAATCATTAGCAAGAAGTGAGCCGCCATCTCAGGTGAATCACAGGAGTGAGAGGTGGGAGAAGGGCCTGGTTTCTGGCCAGTCTCCTCTTCCTGCATGGATGCCTTGGCTCAAAGACAACCTGTGGGCCAGGTGTGGTGGCACACAACTGTAATCCCAGCACTCAGGAGGCTGAGGCAGGAGGGTTGCTGTGAGTTCAAGGCCAA